TGCCACAACGAGGCCAAAATTGCCAGATGCCCAATTGCAGTTGAATCATAGAATGGTTAGAGGTGGAAGGAACCTTAAAGATCATGGAGTTCCAACCCCCCTGCCCTGGGCAGGGACACCTCCCACCAGACCAGGTTGCTCCAAGCCCCATCCAGCCTGGCCTTGAACCCCTCCAGGGATGGGGCAGCCACAGCTTCTCTGGGCAACCTGGGCCAGTGTCTCACCACCCTCAGAGTGAAGAATTTCTTCGTAATACCTCATCTAAATCTCCCCTTTTTCAGTTTAAAGCCATTACCCCTCGTCCTATCACTACATTCCCTGATCAAGAGTCCCTCTCCATCTCTCCCATAGCCCCCTTCAGGTGGTGGGAAGCCACTATAAGGTCTCCCCTGGAGCCTTCTCTTCTCTAGGCTGAACAACCCCAGCTCTCTCAGCCTGTCCTCATAGCAGAGGTGCTCCAGCCTTCTGAGCATTTGGATCAAACCAGACAATTTTTTCCCTTTGCTAGCGTGGCTGACCACTGCAGCAAATGGAGAGCAGCCCATCCATCAGAGCCCACCAGGGATCAAACCAGACAATTCCTTCCCTTTGCTAGTGTGGCTGACCACTGCAGCAAAGGGAGAGCAGCCCATCCATCAGAGCCCACCAGCCTCCCCAGTTCCCACCCAAGGCACCCATCGGGCTCGAGGCAGGTACCCAGGGGCTGGTGCATGAGCGGTTGTTGCCACAACAGCAGGAGACCTCCGGTACTCTGATGAAGGTGTGCTCCAGTACACCTGCACATTTCTGCCAGCAAGACCTCCCAGGTTTGCACAGACACACCTGGAAGCAGTTCTTGAGATTTAAGGCTTACACCCAACGCTTTACTGGGCAATCACACGTAACAACACTAACAGAGATGCAAGGAAATGAACAGTATTTTTCAGCTTCTACTCCAGCTACCCACCCTGCTCAACTCGCACCATAAAGCCACCAGATCTCAGCAAACTACTAAAGAGAACATCATGCCTTTTACTTGAGAACGGTTGTGGTCCAAACCTGCAAAAATGGAAACGCCTCATCACTTCGGTATTGAAAAGTCTAGTACTTTATGACCTTGTGAGCGAGACAGGAGTATTTGAAAGGGGAAAAAAATCCATCACAAAAATCCTGTGACAGCCTCAACTATTAAATTCTTAAATAACGGCGTGATTACATATGAGACGTTTCTACATATTAATTGATGTAGTTTTTATTCCCTTAGAGCTCCACAGAGTTTGATGTGTGGCAAAAGGGAAGTGGGGAGTTATAGGCAGTGAAACATGAGATACAGTGGTCATAAAATAATCTCTTTCAACTCTCCAGAGCCCTATTACACATATGGCATGTAACAACACAGGATACATGCTAGAGGGGTATAAAGGTTTTACTAGCCCTCAGAAGAGATGACTTGCAACACTTGCTGACGACCGTGCCTCCCAAATTCATGCTGAGAACAGCTTTATAACAAACCGTACTAATAGCTGGTACGGCTGCTATATATAGTCACAGACAAATGCTTTTCTGCTTGGTTTAATGCCTGTATCTACGGTCCTGTACCAAGACACCCAACAGATAAACAAGCAACAACCTGCGTGCAGCATTTATTCCTATCCGCTGTTATTAGCGAAGATGAGCAAAACAAATGATGGACAACGAGGCCCTCATCTTCTAGCAGAAACTCCCACAAACCCTCCCTGGCTTTGCCAGTTGATAATTTCCAGGCTACAGGAACGCAAGAATTGGCCGGGAGCTTTCCAAGCAACACACGCCGGCGGCCGCACAACATTTTGACCAGCCTCAGGACACCGCGGGCAGCCCCCCAAAACTGAAGCAGCTGCTAATAGAGGCATGGGCCTCCTCCGCTAGCATCTCCAGGGGGTGTTCTGGCCCACCAAAGTGGGGGCTGGAGGGGATGTAGGGTCTTCTGTCACACCAAAGGTGGGGGGAAGATGTAGGGTCCTCTGCCACACCAAAGGAAGGGGTGGAAGGGATGTAGGGTCTTCTGTCCCACCAAAGGGAGAGGCTGGAGGGGACGTAGGGTCTTCTGTCCCACCAAAGCAGGGGGGGAAGGATGTAGGGTCTTCTGTCCCACCAAAGCGGGGCGGGAAAGATGTAGGGTCCTCTGTCACACCAAAGGGAGGGGTGAGGGGGGACGTAGGGTCTTCTGTCCCACCAAAGGCAGGGATGGGGGGGGACACAGTGTCCTCTGTCACACCAAAGGGGGGGATGGAGAGGACGTAGGGTCTTCTGTCCCATGAAAGGGGAGGTCTGAAAGGGATGTAGGGTCTTCTGTCCCACCAAAGGAGAGGGTGGAAGGGATGTAGGGCCTTCTGTCACAGCACCGCAAGCCGGCTGCCTCTGCAAGGAGGATGGCTTCGCCCGGGGGGGGGTTACCCCTCGTCCTATCACTACATTCCCTGATCAAGAGTCCCTCTCCATCTCTCCCATAGCCCCCTTCAGGTGGTGGGAAGCCACTATAAGGTCTCCCCTGGAGCCTTCTCTTCTCTAGGCTGAACAACCCCAGCTCTCTCAGCCTGTCCTCATAGCAGAGGTGCTCCAGCCCTCTGAGCATTTGGATCAAACCAGACAATTCCTTCCCTTTGCTAGTGTGGCTGACCACTGCAGCAAAGGGAGAGCAGCCCATCCATCAGATCCCACCAGCCTCCCCAGTTCCCACCCAAGGCACCCATCGGGCTCGAGGCAGGTACCCAGGGGCTGGTGCATGAGCGGTTGTTGCCACAACAGCAGGAGACCTCCGGTACTCTGATGAAGGTGTGCTCCAGTACACCTGCACATTTCTGCCAGCAAGACCTCCCAGGTTTGCACAGACACACCTGGAAGCAGTTCTTGAGATTTAAGGCTTACACCCAACGCTTTACTGGGCAATCACACGTAACAACACTAACAGAGATGCAAGGAAATGAACAGTATTTTTCAGCTTCTACTCCAGCTACCCACCCTGCTCAACTCGCACCATAAAGCCACCAGATCTCAGCAAACTACTAAAGAGAACATCATGCCTTTTACTTGAGAACGGTTGTGGTCCAAACCTGCAAAAATGGAAACGCCTCATCACTTCGGTATTGAAAAGTCTAGTACTTTATGACCTTGTGAGCGAGACAGGAGTATTTGAAAGGGGAAAAAAATCCATCACAAAAATCCTGTGACAGCCTCAACTATTAAATTCTTAAATAACGGCGTGATTACATATGAGACGTTTCTACATATTAATTGATGTAGTTTTTATTCCCTTAGAGCTCCACAGAGTTTGATGTGTGGCAAAAGGGAAGTGGGGAGTTATAGGCAGTGAAACATGAGATACAGTGGTCATAAAATAATCTCTTTCAACTCTCCAGAGCCCTATTACACATATGGCATGTAACAACACAGGATACATGCTAGAGGGGTATAAAGGTTTTACTAGCCCTCAGAAGAGATGACTTGCAACACTTGCTGACGACCGTGCCTCCCAAATTCATGCTGAGAACAGCTTTATAACAAACCGTCCTAATAGCTGGTACGGCTGCTATATATAGTCACAGACAAATGCTTTTCTGCTTGGTTTAATGCCTGTATCTACGGTCCTGTACCAAGACACCCAACAGATAAACAAGCAACAACCTGCGTGCAGCATTTATTCCTATCCGCTGTTATTAGCGAAGATGAGCAAAACAAATGATGGACAACGAGGCCCTCATCTTCTAGCAGAAACTCCCACAAACCCTCCCTGGCTTTGCCAGTTGATAATTTCCAGGCTACAGGAACGCAAGAATTGGCCGGGAGCTTTCCAAGCAACACACGCCGGCGGCCGCACAACATTTTGACCAGCCTCAGGACACCGCGGGCAGCCCCCCAAAACTGAAGCAGCTGCTAATAGAGGCATGGGCCTCCTCCGCTAGCATCTCCAGGGGGTGTTCTGGCCCACCAAAGTGGGGGCTGGAGGGGATGTAGGGTCTTCTGTCACACCAAAGGTGGGGGGAAGATGTAGGGTCCTCTGCCACACCAAAGGAAGGGGTGGAAGGGATGTAGGGTCTTCTGTCCCACCAAAGGGAGAGGCTGGAGGGGACGTAGGGTCTTCTGTCCCACCAAAGCAGGGGGGGAAGGATGTAGGGTCTTCTGTCCCACCAAAGCGGGGCGGGAAAGATGTAGGGTCCTCTGTCACACCAAAGGGAGGGGTGAGGGGGGACGTAGGGTCTTCTGTCCCACCAAAGGCAGGGATGGGGGGGGACACAGTGTCCTCTGTCACACCAAAGGGGGGGATGGAGAGGACGTAGGGTCTTCTGTCCCATGAAAGGGGAGGTCTGAAAGGGATGTAGGGTCTTCTGTCCCACCAAAGGGAGGAATGGCAGGGGGACGTAGGGTCCTCTGTCCCACCAAAGGAGAGGGTGGAAGGGATGTAGGGCCTTCTGTCACAGCACCGCAAGCCGGCTGCCTCTGCAAGGAGGATGGCTTCGCCCGGGGGGGGGGATGAGCCGGCGCGGATATTAAAGGAAAGGCAATCCTCTTAGGAAGGGCTGGCGGTGAGGCGAGGCGAACACCCCGCTTCTCCCCTCACCGGCCGGGGCGGCAGCCCGGCCACCCCACCGCGGTGTGTGGCCACCGGGCCTACACCCCCACAAACCACCACCACCCCCCCCGCCGCCCTCTCCCCGCCGGGAGCCCCGTGAAGGGCGAGGAAGCGGCAGCTGCTCGGGGCCTGCGGGCAGGTGTTTGCCGGCACCGCCGCCTCCCCTGAGGGGAGCGACCCGTCCCCGGGAGAAGGGGGGACACGACAGGACAACGACACGGCCGGCCGGGGGGCGACTGAGGCGGCTAAATGGGCCAGTTACATAATAACGCGCCCCCCCC